GAGGCGCCGGCGCCGGCCCGCCCAGGTCGCCCGGCGACATCGCCCCGTAGCCCTGCGAACAGCCCGCACACCCACTCACACTCAAAGGCAACAAAGCAAAGGCGCGGGCGTCACGGGAGATGCAACTTCACATACATGCCTCCAGAACTCCTCTTCCATCTTTTAGCTTTGTACGATTTCCTTACTAAAGTACTGCCAACTGATATTTTGAAAATATCAAGGCTATACAAGTATAAAAACTAGCTTGCGTTCTTGGAGGCTAACATACATGGAAAGCTATATAAATACGAAAAGGAGAAAAGAAACTTTCGGAGACTTACAGCAAAATTAATATTTAAATGCTACGAAAGAAAAATGACTCCTCAATCGCATAAGGCTATCAGTATTGAATACAAATAAGATCTGGGTAAACTAGTATGAGCGCCCCATAGCAGGCATTCCGCGAAGTTGCTTCGTGTGGTCATTAGCGGCTTCTAAATTTCAAGCTCCACCGAACAAGATACGTTGATGAATTAATTGATAGACGGACTTAGCGATTCCGGGCACATCAACTAACAGGGTCACTGTACCGTAAGTGTAGTGCATGTTTTCTCGGGATGTGGCGGTCTTCCCCCGCTGAATGGCGAGATCCGGCGCCGACCTACCGTCTACTGGCGATGTGTTCGTTAAATAGTATCTCATACCTGCGGGGCACCGTCCTAGCGGGGAAACGCTTTAAGCTCCTGCTCGGTCTCCAGGTATGTGTGGTAGTGTAGTGCATGTTAGTGTACATGTGTAAGGGGTGGGGATTCCTATCCAAGGAAGAATAGGAGAAACTAGCGAGCGGTCCGTGGCCCGTTTGTTGGGGTACCGATCCGGCATTCGCCTGGTATTGATAGGAACACTACCGATCAGAGCAGTTGCCGCTAGAATTCTCCTCCAGACAGCGTCTAAATTCGACCTAGTAGACAAACCGTAGTGTCGAAAATCCTGCCACAGTCGGGATCTCGAACCTAGGACCTCCCGGTCAGAGGGTGCTGATTTCGTGCGAATGCGTTTTTGATCTGCCGTGAGGAGACCCAGCACCCATCTTGCGCAAAGCTTCCTCATATGCAGTTCTTCACGAAAAATGGGATCCACACGCTCCTTTGAGATCCCTCCTCTCTCAGTAATTTCATGCACCTTCGTACGCCGATCTTCCAATTATCGTTGACTTTTTCAACAATTTCTGTTGTCGTGCACTTTCTGAATGTCTTTCGCGTGGATCATCTTAGATGCTGACACGGCCCCGTTTAAACTCAGCCGCCAAATTCTTCATGGTAGAAAATGAAGGACAAGAGTCACCATACCCCTTTTACATCCTTAAATGAATTTCGGTCAGCGACCCCGATCCTCCAGTTCCTCCACTTATATGATTACACGCTTCATACTTACACGATTCAAATACTAGTCATCAGCCAACCGTTGGATTAAATTATTGAAAATTTGAATTGGAGCTTTCCGAAAGATGTACTTTTTTTTTGGTGTGTGTGTGTGTGTGTGTGTGGGGGGGGCTCACGGGAGTAGTTCTATCATCTATGGGTGAGGCCGACAACTTTTGATACCACCTCCGTATAATGAACCTAGGATCGGCTCTCTTGTAGTTCTTACCTTATTTTCTTCTTCCGCTATTAAAAATCACTTAGCTATTCATTGCTTCTTTACTTAGCATTATGAAGCCGTCGCCCACAACACGACACGGTGCGAGGAGTCGGACTCCGAAATTGTTCCAAGTGTCGGTTCCGTCCCGGCCTGGCCTCAAACGCGCGAAAACTGCCATCCGCCCCGTCCTGTTCCGACAACTAAGCTTTTCTGAATCTGAGATCTTCTTAGAGGTTTATAGCTTAAGTTCAAGTGAACCTTAAAGGAGAGAGAAGTCATCGCAGTGAAGTGAAACGAGATCAGATAAACCAATAAGCTAAATAGTCAAGCATAGCCGTTCTCTTTAATTGGATGGCAAACATGAAGACTGTCTCGTCTTTTATGTTGGCAACCTTGCAGTGGTTGGCGTTAACTTTCTACTGGACTGGAGCCGTGTGCTGGCTGGGTGTCTCTGTTAAACGACGTCTTTTACGCACGTCTGGAAAGAATGTTAGTGGAAGTCGTTGAATTGTATATGGATACTAATATCTCCATTGGTTACCACTATTCCAAGATCTTTGATGACAAAAAAGAGAATGAAAATAATAATTATAATTATTGTATAATTATTATTATTATTGATATTATTATTAATAGTACTGTTTATTGTGAGTCATAATTTTTATTTATAACTTGTAAGTATTATTTAAAATAAAATTTAAAAAAACAATTATAAAAATGTATGGAAAATATGTTTATGGTTCTTTACATTACGTTATGTTAACATGTTTTAACTTATTACTTTTTATTTAATTACAAAATATAAATATTTACTTAAAATTTGTTTTTTGTAAAATTTTTTTCAGATGCCACCTGATGAATACTGTTTTTTACAAATCACAACTGTACATTCAAATCCTGTGGGCTTATTATATTTTCCTTTCCAAAAATCGACGAAAGAAGTGGTCTTACCTCATAAGAATAGTCACAATTTTTATCATGTGTAGTTTGTATCAGTCACTAGCTATCCTGTGATGAGGTACCTCGTGAATTCCAAACTGTACCTTCATAGTTGCTCAGAGAGAAATAAAAGCAGGAGTATTGAAATCCAGTCTGTATTAAGCTAAAATTGATGATATTCGATTTTAGAGAATTTCTAAATATACTTGCACTGAAAGAATCGCCATAATACAACCATTTCAAAGTAACGAGTGATTGTATTTGGACGTACATATGCAATATTGCTCTTTGTTAGGGCTATGTTAAACAATTATTAAAAAGACTGTTTGCATATCAACAATTAAAGCCTTTTGTTCAGCCGTTGGTGGTAAAGTACATTTTCCTCTGACGGTACTGCTAAGTACTGAATTTGCTTATAAGCATTTTTTTGGTGTATCGCTACCGCTCGGCCTGCATTCAGCGAGGTGGCGGAAGGTATTCTGTGGTATCTGAGCCGCAAGCGTTACAGTGCGTCCTCTGGTTGGTGCATATTGGGGTGGTGTTGTAGAACGAACTCGCTTCTTAAAGAGTCGAACCACACACGTTCAACGTGGCATGGCGCAATGTTCTGCTGAAAGTGAATCTTGCCGACAGGGAACACCGTCGACATGAACGGATGCCCTTGGTCCCCAATAAGGCCTAAGATAGCGGATAACGGGCTGGAACTGATATACTGGAATAACGGGCCCGAGAGATTGGCATGAAAATATCATTCAGACTATCATACTTCCTCTGGCTAGTCTTAACAAAACAGCTCACCTTACTACCAGAGCCTTCGATGATAACCGACGTCAATAGGATGAATCAGGAAACAGAATTCATCAAACAAGGCGACCTTTTTAAAAATCATACACAGTTTACGATTTTGTACTCCATTTATGAGCTGCTGCCCATGACATACAGTTACCAAGGTGCGAGTGGATCTTCGAACCTGCATCATGTTGGGGTTCAATGAACAGTGGCATGTAAAACATACCAGGAACAACTGTTGTACCTCTAAACGATTTCTCGAACTGAGGCTCTGCTTTTGCTCCAAACAAAGCGTGACATCGTCCGCAGTTCGCTTATCAACGTGCTGTAGTCTACACATGAAACACACAGAGGGGGAACGGTTTCCCCACTGTTTTTCATATACTTTTCATATATATAGATAATATATAATATATATTATATTATATATAATATATTATATATTTAAAACAGTGGAATCGGAGGCGTCTGACAAGACGGGGTTTATTCTGATTCATATATGCTAATCAGATTATCACAATCTGATCTCAGACCGAACTCCGATACATAAGGCGCCTGTCCAATTTCCCGCCATGGGCATCAAGATGCGGTGACACACTGGAGATGCTCAATACATACCTATACTAGCTGAAAGTAAACCGGATTTGGCGCAATTTTTAAAAGCACAATTAACTATTAAAGCAAAAAAGGATTAATTTTATCTCTGAATTTGGAAAATGACCATTTTTGTCCCTTCAATTCCATCTTTTCAATCCTTCAGGAACTGAATTTGATTTTTCTTCTTCGTGGCAAACCGGTGGTAATTAGGAAATCTGTAATCCACATGCCAATATTTTCTCGCTCTGGAAGTTCTGGCTCTGCGTTCATTCATTTTTATAGACGCTAAAGTTTTTCACGGAAATTTTCATGTTAAAGACTTTGTTTTACCAAGGAAATGTTAAAGATTAAAAATTCCATCTTTTTTAAGATTTGGTGCCACAAAACTTAAAAAAGGCATTTTTCATGAAAAATTGCACGGCACATCTAGGAGAAGGCAGGCATAACGGCTCCGTTGGGGCCAGAACGTAATGTTTTTTCTCCGGCATACTTCAAGTGATATAGACGATTTGTGTGACCTGAAATGCATTAGCCGCAAGATAGAGAAGCAGAATACCCAGAAAATGTGATGTGAATGAATTCCAATACCGAAAATCAAAGTAAGGCGATTGGTTCCTAATTTTATCGCATTCTAAAATTCTCTAGCGGAAGTTTGGGCGTCCCACTTTGGCAGCCATTCAATGCAAGATCAAACATAGTTAACCGTAAAGAACAAAATAGTATCCTCAAACTTCAGTCCTTCCGAGGGGTAAGTCATTCAGAGTAAAATCTACATCAGAAACATCTATTCAATAAAAAACGTAAGTACATGAAATCTGCATAATACTTGCAGTTTAGACAGAATTTGCGACCGGCGACTTTAATTGACACAAACCTCACCACGTGCCGAACGAAAAGAAAATCTAGCTCAAAGTAGCTGACTGTTTGCAAATTAAACTAATTTTACACATTGTAATTTATATTGCATATGGAACTACCTATCATGCATTTCCGATCATATATTTCCTTGGGATAACAAATATTGAAAGCAAGTGTCATTTATCCAGATTCTCATGCTTTTATGATATTAAACGGTACAAAACATCTATGATACACATAGAAGGGTGTAATTTATTTTGTTAACCAGTAATCACATACTCATCCTTCCGTTACATTTTTACATGATAATTTCCCAAGACTAATCAAATGCAACTTATACAACGACTCGGCAAATTGCAAAACGACTAATGCACTCACCATGGGGTCTGGCGGGAG